AATATTTGAATAATAAAATCTATTCTGTAAGATTAACTCTTAAATAATATAAAATACATAATCAAGCAAAATATTTTTTATAAATTGATGATATATTATATAAAATTAATAGAACTAATTATATCTCTTTGAGTTATTAAAGAAAATAAAATGAAAACTATTCTTATTAATTTATATTTAAACTTATTATTTGAATATTTTAGATATAAAAAAATCTATTAAAGAATTATAAATAAATATTAGTAGAATAATATAAAAACTAATATAAAGAATTATATAAAGACTTGTAAAATCTGCTAGCAAACTGGTAAAAGAACTATTATATAATCTTTATATTTTATTAAAATTAGATAAATATTTGATAGAATAATTATTGATCTAATTGAACCTAATAAAATAATAATAACTGGAAATTAATATATTATTATAATAATTAATTATCTACAAAATAATCTGAAGCTAAAGTAATTCCTGACAAGAAAGCTATTATAATCACAAAATTTATCTTTAAAAAAATAATTTATAGATATAAATACTTTAAAAAAATTTAATTAGATAATAAATTAGAATTTGTCAATAAAATAGTTAAAGAATTATTAATAAAATTTGAAATCAAATATAAATTTTCTTTATCTTAATACTCACAGATCAATAGAATAATAGAATACTTTAATAGAATATCATATACAATATTATAAAAATTAATAATAGTATATAAACAAGAATAAGATATTTTCATTTTTACTATTTTTTTTTGCTTATTGAACTAATTAAAATTCAATAATAAAGCATAAACTATTTTTCTTAACTTATAGATAAAATGCTAAATTACTAATTAAATTAAAAGTTCCTGCTTATTTGAAAGAAGATTTCATAAAAAAAGTAAAATTAATATAATAAATATATCAAATAGTAAATTAGTTATCTCAATAAATATTAGAAGTAAAACAAAATATAGAAGAATGATAATTATAATATTCTTATAAATATAATAATAAAATTCAAAAAGAAACAATATTTGAAATTAGAAATAAAGTATTAATATTTGATATAAAATACTATTTAATAATTAAAAATAAATTTTAATCTACTTGAAGTAAAAAATGATATTATATTTATAATTATGCTAGGTATAACTCTTATAAATTTTGTAATTAGAATAGAAATATTTTTAAATATTTTATTAATAAAAGATAAATCAAATATTATTATAATCATCAAGATTACTTTAAATCATAAATTATTATTGAGTAATTCATATAAATTATCACTTAATTTTTATCATTCCTATATTTAAAATTATCTTCTATTTTATTTTTATCTATTTTTATATCTATCTTTCTCCAAAATTTTTAATATCTTATCATTTATAATAGACTCTTAGTTCAGAATTTATATAAATATTCTTTCTATTCCTCTTATCTTTTTCTTTATTCTTTCATATTTTTCACTTTATTATCAATTATCTTTTTTTTTATTATTTTATATCTTTTGAATTCTTTTATCTTTTCTATTCTTATTATTTTATCATATCTCAATTATTTACTTGAATTATCTCTTTAATTATTAAATCTCTTGAAGAGATATATTAAGAGATTCTTACTTAACAATCTTTTGAAATAATTACTTTTTTGATCTTTAAACTACTTGCTTGCAATAATATAGAACAAGAAGTTTATATTTTTCTTTTGAATTTACTCATACAATTTGAATTTACTAAAGATATTGAAATTAATTATACTTTTTTCTTGAAACTCCAGATAATAGTTAAATTAATTGAAATATTTTTTTAATTAGTTAATATAATTACTAACTTAAATTTTAACTGATTAAATATCTTTATCATTACTTTATTAAAAGATAAATTTGAAGTTAATATTAGTAAAAAAGATACTAAAAAAGAAGAATCAGAGTTTATAAATTCTGATAATTCAATTATTTCTGAAGAAAAATCTGAATTATTTATTCCTATACTAGAAATTAAATCTATCTGTGAAAAATAAAACTTAAAGAAGTAATATTTTCACTTTATAATAATCTATTAGACAATAATAATCAAATGATAACTTAATATTATAAACTTGAATAATTACTTTCAATTTAATTATATAAATATTCAAAGAATATTTTAAAACTTAAAAAAAATATTGAAGATTTTCTTGTAAAATATCTATATAATAGACTATATAATATTATCCAGAAAGTCTTTCATTTATCAGTCTAAAAAAGAAGCATTTGATAATTGATTTGAGTTTACTTTAGTTAAATTATATTATTTAAATAAAAAAAATATTGAAGATTATTAATTAATTTTTGCAAAAGCAAAAATTTTTTGAAGAAAAACTATATATTACTATAGTAATATAAAATTTCTTAATTCTATAATCTTTTTTTGATTATGTAAAATTTCATATTTTTATAATTTTATACTTTATTTTATAATTATTCTTATTTTTTTATAATTATATATTTATTTCTCTTATTATATTTATCTTTTATAGTTATATTTCTATTATTAGATATTATATATTATCCTCTTTATTTGAAATTTATATTTTTAATTTATCTATCATACAAAATTCATGTATTTACTATAATAGTATATTTGAAGATTATTTTTAAATATTTAGTAAAACAATGAAATTTCTTTTAATATTAACATTTTAAATATCTTTTAATCTTAATATTTCAAATATCTTTCAATATCTTTCAACATTAATATTTTAAATATCTTTCAATATTAATATTTCAAATATCTTTCAATATTCTTCAATATCTATATTTTTAATATTAATATTTAAATTATTAGTATTTTAATAATATATATATTTAGATAGTATTAACTAATAATACTATAATAATTTATGTATTTGAAAAATATATAAAAGAACTTGCTATCTCAGCTTGAAATAAATAATTTTGGATTGAATTATTTGAAAAATATATATTAAAAAGCTTATTATTATAATAATAGTAATCTTTTTAAAAGATTTCTTTTCTAATTATACTAGTACTCTTTTTCTCATTTGGTTTTATTTCTTTGACCATACAAAGTTTGATTTTTATTTGGATTATAATATTATATTGTTTTTGATTTTTGATATTATTTTTGAAAATAAAAAATCTTTACTATAAATAAGTCATACTTTTTATTTTATTTATTTATTATTTTTAGGAGTAAAAAATCTCTATTATAAATAAGCCATACCTTTTTGATTAGTTATTTTATTATTTACTTTAGCTTTTATCTTTTTTTTTAATTATAATTTTCTTTAATTAATACTAGTTTTACTATTTAATTACTTTAAGTCTTGAATTATATTAATTATTAGTAATTTACTAACTGATTTTTATAATTTTCTTAATTTATTTATTTCTTTTATTATTTATTTTATCTCTTTATTAAGACAATATCTATAGATATTAGCACAGACCTTAGAAATCTTTATCATTATTAAAAATATAGTCTAATTTCTCTCTTTTTGTCTTTTAATTATTTCAGTCTCTTCCAATCCAATATCATTAAGATAAATTCAAGTGAAAATCTACTTATCAGATTTGTCATAATAATATAATATAAATAATCAATTAATTTAATTATGTAAAACTTTATAAAATTTTAATATTATTAATTTATTTATATTTTATATTTATTTTATCTTATATAAATAAGTTACTTTATTTTATATTTTAATTTCAAATTTGAATACTATTTAAATAATAAAATTCTAAGTTATTTATAAATTAAAATCATTCACTTTACAATTTATTCTAACTATAAATAAATAATCTTATACTATTAATTTTATTTAATATTATTCTCAATATTATTTATATATTTATTATTTTTAGTTTATTTTAAATATTATTTTATTAATTATTAATTTATATTTATTATTATATATTAGAAATATTTTTAATATTAATAATAAAATTAAGATATTATTAAAAAATAAATAAAATAAAATATAAATTAAAAAAGCTTTTTATAATTATATTTCTTAATAATTATCTAATTTTACTTTTTTAAATATATTATTTTAGAAAAATTTGATTATATATAAATAAAAATACTTTTAAATTCTAAAATATATATATTGAAAGTTTATATTTAATTTAAATACAATTAGTTCTCTCTATAATCATATCTAGTTATAGTTGTCTTTTTAAGTTTCTCAATTGCTAATTAAAAATTTCTTAGAATTACATTTCTCTTTAGTTAATTAATTTTATTTTTTCAAGTATAATAACTATAAAAAGATTTATTTATAATTGAATTCTTTTATTTTATAATTTTTTATAAATCTTTACTTAAAAAAAATTAATAAATACTTAGTTTTTTTTTAATTAATTATATATAAATAAATTAATAAATAAAGCTTAAAAATATTTATTAATATAAATATTTTTTTAATCTTGTCATATTTCTTTAATTATAATTATAATTATTATTTATACATATAAAGATATTTAAAAAATTTTATCAGAATAGATATTTGAACCTGTTCAAGTAAATATCTTGAACTTGATTCAAAATATTTATTCAAATATATTAAATATCAAAATATACATTCAAGATTTTTTTTAATTACTTGGATCCCAGTATCCAAAAATTCAAATATTAATCCTGAATATATATTAATTAATCATTAGTTTTTATTTGCACTTCGAGAATTATTTTTCAAAATTTGATTGATTTATCACTAAAAATAAAAAATCATGACTTTTCGTCATCTGATGGATTATGTATATTGTTATTATTATATTATTTTTCTAATTTTCTGTTGATCTTGCGATTTGATTGGTTTACCCCCTTGAAATCACGTGATTTGGAACTTGTGTTTATTGTTTTGTACATTCCGAAGGTTAATTCTTTGCACATTTAGGGCAGACATGTTCAAACCAAGTGTGTGTCCAATCGGAGCTGTCCATATATCAAATAAGTTTATTTCTTACCTATAAATTTGTTTCATCAATTAATTTTATTACTTTTTATGTAGTTCGTGGTATTGCAAAAAAACTTGAGATTGAGTTTGTCAAGGCTGTTGTAAGTTTCTTTGAAATTTTATTGATATTCATAAGAACATTTTTTTCGAGTTATACTATACATAGATTGGTTTCAACTTCCAATTTCGTCGATGTGTGTCAATATTTGAGGGTATTGTTGTCACTAAAGAGAATGAAGAAATTGTACTAGAGGTATTAGTTTTTTTTCATTATAAAATCGATTATATAATAATTCAGCGTCCCGGTTTTTGATAAAAGGCATGGAGAGCACATTCAGAAGTAGTAGCAGCTCAAGGAGCCGCAAGACGACGAAAGAGAGCTGAAAAAATAGAAGAACGAACAGAGTGGAGAGAATGAGTTTGAACATGAAGATAAGGATGAGGGATGAGTTAATGCATGATGACAACGAGGAAGAGGAGAAAAAGCAGAGTAAGGGTAAGGGCAAGATTAAGGAAGTGGAGGGTGTTGATTAGTGTTACATGCCGTAATAGGTTTAATAAAATTGAAAGGTTTACAGTTGTAAAGTTCGTAATTGATGCATTATTTGTAATTGGTGTAAAAGTTCACAATTAATATTTGTATAAAATAATGAAATCCGCAATAATGAGTAATTTCACGTACGGCCTCTTTGGAGCTCAATATCTCGATATCCAATGGAGAAAATCGAGTGAAAATCTAGGGAATCGAATAATCAGCTTTATACTCGTTTTCCTTTAACACATACATCAATGATATGTTTCGGGTTATATGGGATTGTTTGCCATTCTCCATATAATCTATAGTTGCATTGTGCACGAGATTTTATATATTTCAGAGGTTGCTTTCCTTCCAATGATATTTCAATATAAAGCTATAAAATGGGATATCCGCATCTATCTTGACCTCTGAGCTCCCTTTAACCATGCTTCAACAGTGTACAACTAAAATTACAATTAATTTAATAATTATGTTTCAAAAAAGAACAGAATTTTATGAATACCTGTTTAACACATTCACGCGGATAAATTAGTTCGTCGCGAATTTCTCCAAGTATTGGTTCCTTTGAATGTAATATCTCGGATTTTTATAAATGACATTCAAGAACATATCTATAAATTGTTTTTTTAAGTTATTCAATAGTTTGAAACCAGATTTGAATCAAGTATGAATATACAATGAATTATTAAAATCATTAATGGACTTGGGGAATACCTCAGTACATAATATATTTTCCGAAGGTTAATTCTTTGCACATACAGGGCAATATTCCTGTAAACAAGTATGGTAATGTAGTCATATACCAACCATGCATGTGTTTAATCGAGCTGTCCATATACCAAGTAAGTTTTTATTTGTTACCTACAAATTTGTTTCATCAATTAATTTTATAAGTTTCTGTTGAAGACAATTTTTTATCTTCTAATTTATCGCGTTCCTAATTATAATTCAATTTTTAGCCTAGAACTGGAAATGAATAAGTTGTAATTTAAACAATACCGTTTCATCAGGTCGGTAACTTAATGTCGCTTGTTACCAATCATATCCGTTTTTAGTTGGTTGAATGCGTAACTTACGCGTATGTGCACCCCATTTAGAAGCATAATGACGAGTCACGTCCTTAACAAAAGGTCTGTTCAAAATCAGGCACAAATCAAAATAGATTATCAATCAAACTTTCTACCCTTCAAAAGCCAATTACATTTTTGGTAGAATTATTAAAGGGTCCTATAGCGTGAGGATTGTCAACTATTGCTCTTATTGGATCCGCACAAACCCATTTTTTATCAATTTCCGAGTACAATAAACCGGTATTCTGTAACGTTTAAAAAAGATAAGGGGATCAATTAACAAAGTTTAAAGATAATAAAACATATTATATATGATAATTGCCACTGTTTGAATTATTTTTCTTGATTATGACCTTTTAGAGGTGGTTTAACCTCATCAACGTAATCTTTTTTTTCTGTAGTAGCAATTTCATCATCACTTCCCTATATACCACTTTCAGCAGTCTTGATCCTTTTACAACTCAAGGAAGTAATGAGTCTACATTTTCTTTGGTATTCTGAAACTGCTTTTCTAAATTCTTTCATTTTACAACAGGTGTTTTAAAGGAAATAGCTTTTAACAAAATTATTCAATCGAGCAGAAAAACCTATAACGCGACAAACAATTGGGCAGAAGTGTCTTTGCTTCCTTTGCCTTCTTTAATAGCGAAACGCAGAGCATGGGCAGATCAGCAAAATCGTTTTGATTTTCCTACGTAAAGATTTAATAAAATTCTTTATACTCATTTTAGATTAATTATAAAATACGCATAACATACCTCTGAAACTCCCTTCACACCAAATTCATCATAATGTCGGGAACAAATTCCGAGTCTAGTAATCTTAAAATAATCTCGCCACTCACATACATAAAAAACCCAGTATCTCGGCCGGAATCAATGAATAATAATAACGCCTAAGATTTCAACGACAATTAGTCAGCGTTTTATGTCGAAAATCAAAATCTAGTAAAGAACTTTACCTGCATAAGCGTATCATTGCACCATCTATTTCGAAGTTGACCCAGTGCTGAAAAATGTTTCAGATCACGTGATCCATTTGTGTTAATGAATATGTTGGATCCTAAGGAATTTAATCCATTTTTTGAACCACATGATAATTTTTTAAGTGGTAAACCAATCAAATCGCAAGATCAATATGCAACGGAAAATTTTTAAAATAAACGTTAATTTTGAAAAATAGCTTGTATCTATGAAACCACTTTTTGTGTTATAATAAAAAATATTTCTTGTGCAATTTTAACTATATATCTTTGTGCGGTCAGTATATATATCTGGTTCTAACCTTCATATCTTGCGGTTTACCCTGAAAATCGTCACGTGGCCCGCGGTGGTCACTCTTGTCCCTTAACACATTACTATTTTTGTAACTGTTTTTAAATTATTCCATAATAATAAAAAATGATTTTAAATTTATTTTCTTCATGATCCCATTTGTGAATTTTTCCATCCAACCAGGTTGCTTTATAAATTGACCCAAAACCTAGTATTCAACATTACTTAGAAATAATTTAAGTTTAAGTCATAAACCAAAGATTTATAATACACTTACGAAATAACTGTAAATTTTATTTTCTTGCAAATTAAATACATTTACATGTTCAAAAGTTTTACGTAAACTATACTAAAAATGCAAAATATTTATGATCACTAATACTGTGGGAATATAAATGAATATAAATTTACAAAATATTTATGATCACTATTAATAACGATAATAATTAATGACGCTACTCATGCCGATATAATATTAATACTGTGGGAATATAAAATTTACATCATTTTCAAAATATTCACATGTCCATGTACATATAAATTTGGGTCGATCATAAGGTGATCCATCCTATTTAAACCACAACACAATTTGAACTGAAACTGCGGTTCCGCTCTTGTGGTTAACATCCAATATACGTATCTGATTTTTATTAAAAATGAGCGACATTTCATTTCCACCAGAAATCTTGCAACAAATCATAACATTTCATGAAGACAACTACAAAACGCTCTACTCTTGTTTATTAGTCAATAAATACTGGTGTCGTAATGTGGTACCGATTCTTTGGCGAAACATGCCAGAAAAATACAAAAAAAAGTCACCGTCAGCTTATAAATTCATCCAAGCATATATCAATTGCTTGAGCACAGATACTCGTGCGCAATTAGGGTTGACAAAATCTGACCAGCAAAATGAATCTTCAGTTTTTTTGTATCCCACTTATCTCAAAGTATTTGATTTGCAATGGCTCTTGAACGAAATTGTGAGCTGGTATGGAAAATTATTTAGAAATATTCCTAAGAAACAAAGACGAGGTAAATAATTTAGATAACGAGTTTAATTCTATCTAATGACAATTTACATGTATTTGACATTAATAGGACCATATGAATTTCTTGAAGCAATCATTAATCTCTTGCGTACAAATAAAGCACGAATTGAAAAAGTGAGAATCGTGTTACTAGAACCTATCAAAGAAGATGAAAAACAACAACTCTTACGAATAGTCACCAATCTTGTCAAACAATCTCAAGATGAAGAAGATGGTCTATTAGGCAAACTACGCGAAGTTCATTTTTCTCAATATGTTTTTAGGATTCAAGAGGTATTCAAGCTGTTCGCACGACACTGTAACAATTTTCAGTGTCTCAAGCTCAAAAATGCAACGATCGAGAAACAACCAATCAGAGGATTACTCAAATTAATTCAAGCGGTAGCACCAAATTTAGAAGAAATTACTTGTGAAAATCTTAAGGTCAAAAATCTTGAAATTTGGTCGCATATCTCATTTCAATTGTCGACCAGTCTCCGAAAAATCACTATTAAACAGACATTTAATTTTGATTATGATTATTTGGATTTTCTGTTGCAGTTTCAAAACTTGGAAACTTTAGAATTAATTGGAACTTTTAGTAGTCGATATACCTTTAATAGTCAATATATAATATCTGATCATAACTCAAAGATCTTCCCGTCTCTGAAAAAATTCATCCGCAGAACTCATTCGAATTATTATTACGCACTTGGTATTGTTATGGACATTTTGATCCTGTCACGAAATACTTTAAAATCGTTGATACTTCATTTTGAATTAGTTTATAACATAGAATTCCTCAATGAGTTGGAGTCATTAGTAACATTAACCGAGTTAACAATCAAAATTGACTCTACCGAATCCCTTCATAATTTTCTTTTTCTTCTTGAATACTTGCAGAATTTGAAATTTCTAACGATAAATGGTCGCAATGGAGGTAACAATTATTCAACTGTAACCTTGCCAGAGAGCAGGTTGCTTTTTCCCGCGGCTCTGGCATATTTCGAATTTTCAATCCGGATTCCTTTCACCTCGGATTCGCTTACCACTTTTCTTGGCTATTTCGATAAGCTGCCGAGGTTCATTAAGATTACCGTGCCTTCATACAAGCTTCTTGGTGGCATGAAGAATCTGGCGCTTGCTCGTGGTGAAAGGATCCATAGATTTGGATGGAATTATGTTGATGAAGCCCAAACATGGTTATTCAAATTTATTTGGATTTCTTTGGATTAGTTTGAATAATTAGAGTGTCGTAGTATCAGCGAATAAGGTTATTATATAATTCCTTAATCTTAAACTTATTAAAGAAAATATTACCGAACACTTAGTGTTTTATGTCAGTAATATAATAGTTAATAATTAATTAGCGTTTCAAAATATTGTGACATTTTGTGATTATAGTAATAATTAACATTGCAACCTTTGCAATGATTAAATAATTCACGACCATTGAGAATCTGATCTCTATCATTGCTGTAACAACATTAGGATGTGTGTGTCATAATTTTTTGGTAATTACCCGATACAAATAATATTAATATACTAATGTCCAATACCGGTTTGTAAATTTATCTATATCATTGTAAATTTTGTTTTAATTGACGAAAACTTTAATAAAAATAAATAATTAAAAATAATATTTGTTTCTATTTCTATTAATATGTAAATTTAATAAAAATTTTAAAAAGATTTTGAAGTTTATTTGACTTGATATTTTTATACTTGACGTTATAAACTCCGAAGTTTATATGCAAATTTCTGTCGAAAATCACATATTTCTGCTCAGTTGTTTTTTGTTCTGACTTGAAAACATGAACTAAAATATCAAATTATGCACTTTATACATGTATAATTACTACGAGTGATTATTGTCAGAAAGTGAGAATTACTGTATTCCAATATCATACAAATTTATATCGATGAATTGTCAAGCAGAGATAAATTATCAACAATCTAATAATGAATGCGACAAAAATAAGTATGTTAATGATGAAATAAATTATTCGAATTAGTTCTTTTTGAAAAATTCATTATCTCGCAAAAGGAGCTTTTGATCAATATATAAAGCAACCTGGTTGCACTATGAATATTGAATCATGAATTTTATGTATAATAGTTTTATTAACTATTAAATACTAAAAAAGATAAATAATACAAATCTTTTTAAATATATTTAAGATTGTATCGGAATTATAAATTATATCTGAATCTTTAATATATTTAGAAAAATTTTTGTGGTTTAGAAATATTATTATTTAATTAATAAGCAAGGGTATTAAATATATCAGATATTTTTTAAATATTCAATTTATGTTTTATTATAATTATATTAATGACTATTTTTTATAGCATATTAAAGCATAATAACAATAATAATAATAATAATAATAATAATAATAATAATAATAAGGTCCACAAAATTTTAGAAATGAAAAAATTTTATTTCATATATTAAACTTCTTATCATACATATTTTCACATTATTATAGCATAATTAAATATTTTCTTTCTCTCTTTCCCTTTTTCCTAATACTAACTATATATTTTTTTTTCTTTCTTTTTCTTTATAAAAACTTAAAAACTATCAAAAATACACAAAAATATAACAAAAAACCAAAAACAAAATTTTTTCTTTAATATCCTCTTCTCTTTGTGTTATTATAGCACAAAATACAGACAACTCAAACATATCAAGCACATTCAAAGTTATTAAATCTTCTGTCCATTTTATTTCTACTATACTCATAATACCAATATCTTTAGGTCTCATTCAAAAATGAGTATCTTCTTCTCCCATCAACAATTATAGAACTCCAGTCAATCAAAGTGACTCAAAATATAAACAAAAAAAACTTGCAAAAATCATATTGATCTATATTTAAATTCTGATTCAGAAAACTATTATATAACACATAGTATAATTTCACACATGTTATTATTACCGTAGTAACATAAATTTCTTTAATTTCATAATTTTTCAAACTTGGAAAATATGATCAATCAACTGATCTTTGGACAACATGTGATTTAAAATAATATAATTGGTGTATCAGTTATGGATTCAATCATGATTCAATAATGTTTTTGCAATATTCTTGCAATGTTTTTGTAACGTTCTAAGATTATCAATGAGAAATTAGTCCTAAAATCAATAACAGTTCACAAACAGTTCAATAATGGTTCAGAAATGCTTTAGAAACAGTTCATTAACAAATTTTATTTATTTTTATCTTTTATCTTTTCTTTTTAGAACATATATCTTATCTT